GTACTGTACCATACCAAACAACACCGTACCGTACGGTAACATACTGTACTGTAGCTTACCGTACTGTAACACCGTACTGTAACGTACCGTAACATACTGTACTGTAACGTACCGTACGGTAACATACTGTACTGTAGCTTACCGTACTGTAACACCGTACTGTAACGTACCGTAACATACTATACTGTAACGTACCGTACGGTAACATACTGTACTGTAACGTACCGTACTGTAACGTACCGTAACATACTGTACTGTAACGTACCGTACTCTAACGTACCGTACTGTACCATACCGTAACATTTCGTACCGTACTGTACCGTAACGTATCATACTGTACCGTAACATACTGTACTGTAACGTACCGTAACATACCGTACTGTACTCTAACGTACCGTACTGTACCATACCGTAACACACCGTACCGTACCATAACGTAACGTATCATACCGTACCGTACTATACTACTTTATTTATAAAGCACTTTAAATGGCACAAGGCTAACCAAAGTGCTGTACAAGAGACAGACACAACAAGTGTAACTGAGAGTCATGCTGAAAGTGTCCTCTGAGGTCTATCAGATCACATCAGATTATTAAAACATTTACGGTGAAAGTTTGTTTGGTCGGTCCTCTCACCATGCTCCCCCTCATCTTGACCAGTGGCCTCAGGCGTGCTCAGTCTTGTTGCCTCCTCCGGGGCTTCTGGGTAAATGATGGCTGTGTTGCTGCACTGCAGATATTCAACAATGGTTTCTGGATGACCAACACCCTCCTCCAGTTTACGCTCCAGGTAGTAGTCATCCAGCTCATGGATTCTGTCCATCTGACCCTCTGAGAAGACAGCACAAAGATCAGCATGAAGTCCTGCTGCCCTGAGTACTGGTCTGCAGGCACCAACACTCTGCTGGTGTGTCACTGACCCTGACACCAGCACAAACTTACAACCATTTCTCAGAATTTATTTAAAATAAATCAATCTCAGGTCAAAGTCAAAATGTCAGAGAAAAACATGAGAAAGGTTCTTGTCATATCCTGTTTGAGTAAAAACGTTTGGTTTTATTTCCAGCTGCTGCTTTTCTTCTAATGAAGACAAAGAATTCTGCTGTAATCAGAATTCTTTAGAATTACTTCTAAAAGAGCAGAAAGACAACTTATAGCTACTTACAGACACATTTAAATGGTTTCAGAATGAAAGAARMAAATGAATGTGACTTTTTGATTTTGACAAATGGTTCATTTTACAGCTAAATTACAGATAGTTTGGTCTGATTTCTCTTCATTGCATCAGTATTGATCCAAGTATTGGAGGTGATTATTGATCTCACCTGCACTTGGTCCAACATCCTGCTGAGACGGCTCTGGACCTGCAGTGTCATTGTCACAACTGCTGTTATCTGTTGGAAAACACACAGCACACACACTTATTCTCTTCCTCCTCCTGCTTATCATCATCATCATCATCATCATCATCATCATCATYRTCATCATTGTCATCATTGTCATCACCTTCAGGAGACACATGAGCTCCCTTCAGTTCTTTGAGAGATTGTTAAAAGACCATGGCCTTGATTTATCAACACTTTACTACGTAAAGAACCAGGAGCAAAGCTGTTAGCACACAAATCTGATTTATTATTGATGCGCAGTGAGGACTGCAGATATAATTATTTTATAACCACAGTGGGATTTATCAGACCTTTAAACTGGTTGTGTGTCTGTTTCTGTGTCTTTAGTACGTTTGAAAGTCAGGTGCAAAGTGTCTGCATGAAGAGGCTGTTATCCCTGTGCTCTGTTTTCTCTGATTCAATGATCAAACAGGTCAATTCCCTCATGAAATCTGCCTGTATTTTCACCCTCATAAATATGTCACTTTGACAGTAAAGCCATAGCACTCATGTAATTTAACGGGGGTGGGGGGTTGTGTGTGGGGGTAATGGAAAGAACTGTTGGCTGTGAAGACATGACAGCTTTGCAACGAGGAATGAGGAAGCGAAGTTTCTTACAGCCTGCTGACTCTGAGACTTTAATTAATTTGAAGAAAGTTTTTAAAAACAACCTGTAAGACTTCCTGTACATCTGCAGGAAGAATGAGAGAAAATCTGTCTAATTCATGGACAATCTGCACAACGTGACATGTTCTCAGTCTCCTGATCCCTCTGCTCTGCTGCTGCAGGGTGTTGCTAAATGAAATGTAGCCCATCGTAGAACTAAATTATATCACTGCAGCTTTAAAAATGGTAATATAAAACTTTAACTGTCATCCTGTTTTATTTTAGTTTTTCTTTGTTTGTTTTGTTTTTTGGAGTTGATGTTCAGTTGATTTGTCTTTCTGAATCCTTTCTGATGCAGCCTGCATCACAGTCTCTGTACTCTGATAATGAGCTTCATTAATGTTGTTTTTCTTTGAAATCTTTAGACGGTGAAAATGAGAGGTTACCTGTCTGCACCTGTCAGTCACCTCTGCTCACCTGCACACAGACGCAGCAGGTGGTGCAGCAGGACGTCTGTGTGCTGTGATGCATCATTTGGTGGATAAATTATTAAAATTGTTTTTGAAGCTCAAGATAACTGCAACAAAAACATTGATAAAACAAATAAAAATTACACCAATAAAATGTTGTTTTTTTGCCAAGACTAAAAAGACCCAGGGGTTCTGGAGCCACGGGTTCTGGAGCCACGGGGCCACGGGGCCACGGGCTCTGGAGCCACGGGCTCTGGAGCCACGGGCTCTGGAGCCACGGGGCCACGGGCTCTGGAGCCACGGGCTCTGGAGCCATGGGTTTCCAACCTGTGTTCTGTTAAAAAGAAAAAAACCTCCTTGCAACAGTGAAATTAGTTGCGGCTGGTTTGTGTCCAGGGCAGCACAGTGGCTCTGTGAGCAGAGCTGATGCCTCTCAGCAACGAGGTCACCAGATCAAATCCTGGACTGGAACCATTCTGGGTAGAGTTTGCATGTTCTCTCTGTGCATGTGTGGGTTTTCTCTGGGTAGCAGCAGTTAACCTGCTGAACTGATCACAAACTCACCAAGACATCCATCGTCCTCACAGCACTCCTGGGGGGACAGCAGGACATGAGTCTCTTGGGACAATGCCTCCGGAGGTGGTCCACCAGTAGGGCTGTCTGCTTCTTCAAAATCCCCCCCGTCCTCACTTCCTCTTGCTGTGAAGCTGGGCTCATCACAGACTTGTGTCCTGTCGTCCTCATCTGTCTCTGAAGGTGTCTCCAACACGCTGTCATAGTTTAAGACTAAAACACAAACAAAGAAGAGAAGCAGCCTGATGACTGAGTTCACAGTTTCCACAGAGAACAACCTGTTTTACTGTGTGAGAACATGTTTACTGTGGTCAACAATCTTTTATTTAATTTCTTACGTTCTTTCAGCTGCTAGCTTTCTGGTTTATTGTCAGTGATCTGCAGCAGCATTCTGTTGTCTAGAAGACTAATTTCTGATAGATCGCCTGATAACTTCTGACAGATCACCTGATAACTTCCTGCAGATCACCTGATAACTTCTGAT